TCTAACCCTAACATCATGCCATTCACATACACCAAAAATAGCACTGGTCCTAGGACTGACCCCTGTGGGACCCCGCTCGTCACAGGTGCCCACTGTGATACCTCATCACGTACCATGACTCGTTGTTGCCTCCCTGTCAGGTATTCTTTGATCCATTGCAGTGCCCTTCCTGTTATATGTGCCTGATCCTCTAGCTTCTGCCTTAATCTTATGTGAGGAACTATGTCAAAGGCCTTCTTGCAGTCCATGAAGATGCAATCAACCCACCCCTCTCTCTCATGTCTTACTTCTGTTACTTTATCATAAAACTCCAGAAGGTTTGTGACACAGGATTTGCCTTCCATGAATCCGTGCTGGTTGGCGTTTATACTCTTGTTCTGTTCCAGGTGCTCCACCACTCTCCTCCTGATAATCTTCTCCATGACTTTGCATACTATACACGTCAGTTACACAGGTCTATCTATAGTTTAGTGCCTCTTTTGTGTCTCCTTTTTTAAAAATGGGAACTACATTTGCCGTCTTCGTACCTCAGGTAGTTGCCCAGTTTCAAGGGATGTGTTGAAGATTGTGGTAAGTGGCACACGCAACACATCTGCTCCCTCTCTAAGGACCCATGGGGAGATGTCCAGTCCCATTGCCTTTGAGGTATCAAGGTTACTTAGCAGCAGCTTCACCTCCTCCTCAGTTGTATGTATGTCATCCAACACTTGTTCGTATATTCCTTGCTGGTGTCCCCCTCTGTTCTGACCCCCCAGAGGCCTTCCTGTCTCCACTGTAAATACTTCCTTAAATCTCATGTTAAGCTCCTCACATACCTCTTGTAAGAGGTATGTTCCCCCACCTTCTTTCCTCAGCCTGATCACCTGGTCTTTGACTGTTGTCTTCCTCCTAATGTGGCTATACAGCAGTTTTGGGTCATACTTGACTTCCGATGCTGTGTCGTTTTCGTACTGTCGCTGGGCCTCCCTCCTTATCTGTGCATACTCGTTTCTGACTCTTCGACTAATCTCCTTATTTTCCTGGGTCCTTTGCCTCCTGTAGCTTTTCCATTCTCTGGTGCACTTAGTTTTTGCCTTTCTACACCTTTGGGTAAACCAAGGACTCACTTTGGTCTTCCCATTATTTCTATTGCCCTTGTGAACAAACCGTTCCTCTGCCTCCTTGCATTTTGTTGTCACATATTCCATCATCTCGTTTGACATTCCTACCAGTTCTCTGTCCCACTGAACCTCTTGCAGGAAGTTCCTCATACCTGTATAGTCCCCCCTTTTATAGTTTGGCTTTACCCATTCAATTCCTGTTACCCTCTCCACTTGTAACTCTACTATATATTCAAAACTCAGAACCACATGATCACTAGCTCCAAGGGGCCTCTCGTAAGTGATGTCTTCAATGTCTGAACTGCTCAGAGTGAACACAAGGTCCAGTCATAAGATAAGAACATAAGAAAGAAGGAACACTGCAGCAGGCTTACTGACCCATGCGGAGCAGGTCCATGGCCCTTCCCCTCCGGATTAGCCCAATGACCCACCCAGTCAGGTCACCTCCACTCAAGGAAGGAGCACAGCACCAGACCCAGCAGCACAAGCTAGTCAGGTCCAACTCACACCCACCCACACCCACTCATGCATTTATCTAACCTATTTTTAAAACTACACAACGTTTTAGCCTCAATAACTGTACTCGGGAGTTTGTTCCACTCACCCACAACTCTATTACCAAACCAGTGCTTTCCTATATCCTTCCTGAATCTGAATTTTTCTAACTTGAAACCATTGCTGCGAGTCCTGTCTTGGCTGGAAATTTTCAGCACGCTATTTACATCCCCTATATTTATTCCTGTTTTCCATTTATTCACCTTGATCATATCCCCCCTAATTCTACGTCTTTCGAGAGAGTGCAGATTCAGGGCCCTCAGTCTATCCTCATATGGAAGATTACTGATACATGGGACCATCCTTGTCATCCTCCTCTGTACGTTTTCCAGAGCATATATTTCCATTCTGTAATACAGTGACCAGAACTGTGCAGCATAATCTAAATGAGGCATAACCAAGGATATATAGAGTTGAAGAACAACCTGAGGACTTCTATTATTTATACTTCTAGATATGAAGCCAAGAATTCTGTTAGCTTTATTGCGAACACTAATGCACTGTTGTCTTGGTTTTAGATTACTGCTAACCAGAACTCCTAAATCCTTTTCACAATCAGTAGTATTAAGATCTACATTATTTAGTTTATATGTCGCATGGTTATTTTCCTGTCCAACATTTAGAACTTTGCATTTGTCTATATTAAACTGCATCTGCCACTTCTCTAACCATTGCATCAGTCTATTCAAATCATCCTGGAGTTCTCTAGTGTCCTCATTAGAATGAACTGGATAGCTTATTTTGGTGTCATCAGCAAATTTGCTTATGTCGCTGTTTATTCCCTCATCTATGTCGTTTATGTAAATTGTGAACAACAACGGGCCCAACACTGACCCCTGTGGAACACAGCTTGTTACGTGCCCCCATTCTGATTTCTCCCCATTTATGCAAACTCTCTGCTGCCTATTCGTCAACCATGCCTCTACCCAGGAAAAAATTTCTCCTATTCCGTGCGCCTTAAGTCTTGCTGGCTCATCCTCTCCTCTCTCTCTGGTAGTGTCCCTGACATGTTGATGTATGAGGTTTTCCAGTACCACATCCATCATCTTGGCTTTCCACGTTTCGGGACCCTCATGTGGCTCCAGGTTTTCCCAGTCGATCTCCCTGTGGTTGAAATCTCCCATTACCAGTAACTTTGCTCTGCTCGAGTGAGCTCTTTTTGCCACCTCAACCATTGTATCCACCATCAATTTTTTGTTTTCTTCGTACTCCTCTCTTGGCCTCCTGCAGTTCTGTGGTGGGTTATACATCACTCCAATGACTACTTTATGTTCCTCAGACTGAATTGTACCTACTATGTAGGCCCTTTCTCCAATCACGTCCATGCCTTCCATTTGCTCAAATCCCCATCGGTTTTTTATTAGCAGTGCAACCCCCGCCCCCTCTGCTCACTTACACTCACTCACCCATTTGACCATAAACAGAAATATCAATCTCAATCTCAAAATAATGAATCTTAACTAGTCAAAAGTTGGCCTGTGATACTCCAATACTGAAACTATGTATAGCGCCAAAACAAAAGCATTCACATTGCTAAACTCACAACTAGTATTTAGTCACTTAGCCATAATACCAACTTATCTCATAATTCAGTAACATTTTAAACCTAAGATTTAATATAAGTCTGCCCGAAATGCCTAGCCATGCTAGGCGTTCTAGTGGTACACTCTGTAATTATTATTTTACTACATGTAAACCACACAATAACCAAATTCTGTAAACTCAGCATTGTAATACTTATAGAGAATAAAGTTTGAATTGAATTGAATTGAATCTTTCCTCAGGATCTGATACCCCAGTGGGAAGATTGCGTCTGTTATTGTCTCAGCGAGTTTCGTTTCTGTGACTGCTATGATGTCTGGGGATTTCTCGCTGATTTTTAGTGCCACTCATATTTATTCTTTATTCTGTCCGCATTTGTGTACCAAACCTTCAGCTTCTTTTCTATCAATGTGGTTCTGGGAGAATATTGGGGTTGGGGGAGTGGGAGCCCTGGTGAGAGCCTGTGGGGGGCTGTGGTGTGGGTGGGGTTTGTGATAAGGGGGGTCAGAATGCCCATAGAAGGCAGCTGTAGGGGTGAGGTTTGTGATGTGGGGGTTGATGGCAGAGGGAACAGTGTGTGGGTTTTGGTTTAGATTGCTCAGTTGCGTTGCTCAGTTGTGGGTGTGTGTGTTCACTGGTTGTTTGTGGGGGACGAGATTTAGCTCATGGCCCCACCTCCTAGTCACCTTGATCGGCACCACTGAATTCTAGCCTCTAGAGCCGTACTATACCTACTCTTAAAGCTGTGTATTGAGTTTGCCTCCTCTTCCTCATCCAAGTCATTGCACTTTTCAACCATCCTGTGACTAAAGAAATACTTTCTTACCTCCCTGTGGCTCTTCTGCATCCCTGGAGCCTGGTCCTCTGGATTCAAACCATCTGTGGAGGTGGTGTCGGCGAGTAGTGGTGGTGAGTAGTGGTGGCGGCGAGTGGTGGTGGTGGATAGTGGTGGTGATGGTCGGTGAGTGGCGCTTGCGTGCCCCTCGTGGCCAGGGTGGTGGTGGATGGTGGTGGTTGGTGGTGGTGTGGGTGGCGCTTGCGTGTACCTCGTGGCCAGGGTGGTGGTGGTGGTGGTTGGTGGTGGTGTGGGTGGCGCTTGCGTGTACCTCGTGGCCAGGGTGGTGGTGGTGGTGGTGGTGGTTAGTGGTTGTGAGGGTGGCGCTTTCGTGTACCTCGTGGCCAGGGTGATGGTGGTGATTGGTGGTGGTGTGGGTGGCGCTTGCGTGTACCTCGTGGCCATGGTGGTGATGGTTGGTGGTGGTGTGGGTGGCGCTTGCGTGTACCTCGTGGCCATGGTGGTGATGGTTGGTGGTGGTGTGGGTGGCGCTTGCGTGTACCTCGTGACCAGGGTGGTGGATGGTGGTGGTGTGGGTGGCGCTTGCGTGTACCTCGTGGCCAGGATGATGGTGGTGGTTGGTGGTGGTGTTGGTGGCGCTTGCGTGTACCTCGTGCCATGGTGGTGATGGATGGTGGTGGTGTGGGTGGCGCTTGCGTGTACCTCGTGGTGATGGTTGGTGGTGGTGTGGGTGGCGCTTGCGTGTACCTCGTGGCCATGGTGGTGATGGTTGGTGGTGGTGTGGGTAGCGCTTGCGTGTACCTCGTGACCATGGTGGTGTGGTGGTTGGTGGTGGTGTGGGTGGCGCTTGCGTGTACCTCGTGGCCATGGTGGTGATGGTTGGTGGTGGTGTGGGTAGCGCTTGCGTGTACCTCGTGACCAGGGTGGTGGTGGTGGATGGTGGTGGTGTGGGTGGCGCTTGCGTGTACCTCGTGGCCAGGGTGGTGGTGAGTGAGAAGTGTGGCTCTCTCACACTAGCACACAGTAGCACCACCTCCACGTGTGCTCCTTCCCTCTCTCATTAATGTAATACGTCACTCACTCTTCACTTCCTCATATAATGGTCTTCTCATTAACCAATACAATTTATCTCCTCACTAAAGTTTGCTATACAAAAAGTTGTTTGTGAAGCGTTTTTGAACGAATTTGTTAAATTGAATAGTGAAATAACTTATATTTTTGTGAATATGTACTGGTGATGGCAAAAATTGTGTTAAAAGTACGTTAGTGAGTACAGTAATAGCGCGGGCAGAGTCTGTGATTGTGATTTCTTGAAGCACTTGATGTGGATCGTTGAAGTTCCTATGGTCGATTTTTACATTGCCTGTTTATCAGAGTTCCTTCGTCTCACTTCAAGTTGTTTACGCACCACCACCACCAAAACCCACACCTCAGCCATGAATACTCACTTGAAAAAAGAAACTGCTGCAGATTTCAACCGGGATGAGAACCAAACATCCCGGTTCTTCGCTACTGACGGGAGGAACAAGTTTCTGGTTCGTAATATTGATGGGTACCTGAGTGAGCGAGAGTGCGTGATGTGTGAAGCACGTTACAATTATCAATGTTTAGTTTTGTCACCAATAATATTTTCACATGATTTACATCATAAAGTTATCAGCGCAGAACAGTATTTTTCGTAAATTATTAAGGTAATTGTTTTAAGGTAAATGTTGGCTAACTTAAACTTGTTGAACTGTGTTCTAAAAGTTATTATTGAGACGAATACGAGGTTGTGAAGATAAGGAGGGTATGATATTGAGGTGCTTGACCTGGCAGTGTTGTGGTGCTTGACCTGGCAGTGTTGTGGTGCTTGACCTGGCAGTGTTGTGGTGCTTGACCTGGCAGTGTTGAGGTGCTTGACCTGGCAGTGTTGTGGTGCTTGACCTGGCAGTGTTGTGGTGCTTGACCTGGCAGTGTTGAGGTGCTTGACCTGGCAGTGTTGTGGTGCTTGACCTGGCAGTGTTGTGGTGCTTGACCTGGCAGTGTTGAGGTGCTTGACCTGGCAGTGTTGTGGTGCTTGACCTGGCAGTGTTGTGGTGCTTGACCTGGCAGTGTTGTGGTGCTTGACCTGGCAGTGTTGAGGTGCTTGACCTGGCAGTGTTGTGGTGCTTGACCTGGCAGTGTTGTGGTGCTTGACCTGGCAGTGTTGAGGTGCTTGACCTGGCAGTGTTGTGGTGCTTGACCTGGCAGTGTTGTGGTGCTTGACCTGGCAGTGTTGTGGTGCTTGACCTGGCAGTGTTGTGGTGCTTGACCTGGCAGTGTTGTGGTGCTTGACCTGGCAGTGTTGTGGTGCTTGACCTGGCAGTGTTGAGGTGCTTGACCTGTCAGTGTTGAGGTGCTTGACCTGGCTGTGTTGGGGTGCTTGACCTGGCAGTGTTGAGGTGCTTGACCTGGCAGTGTTGTGGTGCTTGACCTGGCAGTGTTGAGGTGCTTGACCTGGCAGTGTTGTGGTGCTTGACCTGGCAGTGTTGTGGTGCTTGACCTGGCAGTGTTGTGGTGCTTGACCTGGCAGTGTTGTGGTGCTTGACCTGGCAGTATTGTGGTGCTTGACCTGGCAGTATTGTGGTGCTTGACCTGGCAGTGTTGTGGTGCTTGACCTGGCAGTGTTGTGGTGCTTGACCTGGCAGTGTTGTGGTGCTTGACCTGGCAGTGTTGTGGTGCTTGACCTGGCAGTATTGTGGTGCTTGACCTGGCAGTGTTGAGGTGCTTGACCTGGCAGTGTTGAGGTGCTTGACCTGGCAGTGTTGTGGTGCTTGACCTGGCAGTGTTGTGGTGCTTGACCTGGCAGTGTTGAGGTGCTTGACCTGGCAGTGTTGTGGTGCTTGACCTGGCAGTGTTGAGGTGCTTGACCTGGCAGTGTTGAGGTGCTTGACCTGGCAGTGTTGTGGTGCTTGACCTGGCAGTATTGTGGTGCTTGACCTGGCAGTGTTTCACCTATGTCGCGCCGAATAGGTGAAACTTGCGATTTTGGCTTAAATAGCAACGCTCTTCTTGCCGAATAATGCAAGCGAATATTTGTGTATGCAATAATTTCACAAAAAAATAATTCTGAACCTAACGAGAAAATATACTTAATTGTGTTTGTTTATTATTAAATTATTGTAAACTTAACTAGAATATATTTAGTTGGATTAGGTTAAATTAAATTGCGCTTGTGTTGTCTTAAGGTTGTTTTGGTACAAGATTATTAATTTTTACATTAACATAAATGAAAAAAAAATCTTTAAACGTATAAGAGAAAATTGTAGAAAAGATTTACTTTTAAACGAATTCTTGCTAACTGACCAGTTTTACCTATTCGACACTCATATATATATATATATATATATATATATATATATATATATATATATATATATATATATATATATATATATATATATATATATATATATATATATATATATATATAATAATAATAATAAAAATCTGGTATCTTTCTCTTGTCTCACGAGAGAGTACATTTGATGTGTTCTCATTAGTTTAAGTCCATCTATGATATTTCTAGTGTCTTGAACGGAGCCATCAACTCCGAACAATATTTTAACGAGAGGTAGGATCCTCGTGTTTTGTATCCAGTGCTTCTCTGAATGCTTCATTCTTTATAAATCTAAGCAGTTGGAATTTACCACCACTGAATATCATGCTATTTCTGTTGCTCACTAGGAGACTTGAAAGTCACCTTGGTAAACAGCGAGTTGTTTTTCATACTTGTTTTGGTATCGTCCACAAAGGAAGATATTAAGTTGTGACTAGTGTTTTTATTTTGTCTATCAGGATGGTAAAGAGTAAAGGCGCCTGGACAGTGCCTTTGGGTACTGAATTTTTGACTTTGTTAATGATAGAATTTGGCTTTGCTTGCTGTTCCTCTTTGTATTCTATTCATTTTTAAATTTAATATAAATTTTCATACTCTTCCTGTTATACTTATTTATACTTATTAACTTTATTAGTTACCACTTCATTATCGCATTTGTCAACTGCCATAGCAGAGTCTGCGTTGATTATATCTGCATTATTCCAAAATCTCGTAATTTTGTCCTAATAGTGTAGTAGTTGTGACAGGTATGATCCTCACGCTCTAAAACCCTATTGAATTGGGGTTTTTAAGACATGCTTTTCCATAAAATTAAAAATTTTTGCCATCTCACCACCCTTTGAACGATTTATACAATGATGATAGTTCTAGTGGTGAGTAATTTTTTGCCAGATCTCTAATTACCTGCTCTGTGCTGAGGAATTAATGACTGCCCTTAAGGTCTTTCGTGTTTCATCAAGTACATGCAGTGTTTGTATTACTGGTATTTTGTACAGTATAAATAATGAGCTCCACGAATAAGGCCTTGGTGGTGTACATGTGGACAAGTTTTCCTTTTCATATTCTGGTTGATTTGTGTTTGTCAGATATATGATTTGTTGGGCATTCATAAGGAATGAAAAACGAGCTTTCTAGATAATAAACTTTCTTGTAATTTAGTTCATTACTGAGCAGTGATTCACACTGGTTTTTTTTAATTAGCTCACTTTTATCGTCATTGATGTATGAAGTTGTGAGTAGCGAGTCAGTACAAGAATTTTTTTTTACTTGGATTTTGCATGCATATAAATATTTAGTAAGTTTTTACAATTTCCTGAGCGGCTTTTTGTCCTATGAGCTTCTTCCGTCTGGTAAGAATGTTTTAGTTCTGTCCAATCTCGGTAAATTCTGGGTATAGATTATCTTTCGTTTTCTTATGTTCTTTGTGATATTTTGTGTGTTTCTGTGAATGCTCTGAGCAGTGCATTTACTTTGCTAGGAACTCGTATATTTAACCTTGTTATTTTTATTTGTTTTAAAACTCAGTGTTAAAGAATGGGGGGTTACAATTTTGGATGTCTGAGTTATTGAGCTTTGTTAGCGTATCTTGTACTTTACTATCTTTCAGTAAGGTACCTTGTCTAAGTATACATGTTCGCTCTGGTACTGGTTATATTATTTTCTGTCGTAGTTTTGACTCTGGTGTATGAAAAACTGATTCGTCGTCCATGTATCTCCTTACTCCGTCTTGTCTCTCAATGTTGATCCTCTCGTTTACCGGATTGTTTTTCTTGTAGCCTAAAAGTTATCTGTACCCATTACGCATTCATTTTCCTGATATGTAATTTTGTATTGTGTTCTTTTCACTTGGTATTATGGGCAACTTATGTTTTAATATCTTCTAGTCTGCAGTAGTGATTTGCAGACTTCAGGGCCAAAGGAAATGTAATCTCTATCAAAACACTGTCCTTTCTGTAACATATTGGGACACACTGTTGTGTGGGTTCAGTATTTACATCTTATTCCATATATGCATAGTTGACGTAGTTCTTATGAATTTAACAACTTTTGTCATTTTCCGTGGTAATTGTAGGTTTATTTACTGCAGTGTGTTCTGAGTTTTCCGGTCTATCATACCCTGAATATATTGTCTGTTTTCCGTCACTGTTTTGTTTCGCTTCTGTTGATCTGCACCTGTATTTCTACCCTTTCACTAGCATGTGATATGCTAGTGAAAGTGATATTTTCTTAGTTTATTTACATTTGGTAATTTATGAAAGACCTTTTATGATCTTTGTTATTATTCAGTACTGTGTTTACCTTCTGGAAGCTCTTCATCTCTCATACAAATCCAGTAACATTTATCGTGCTACATGAAATTTGTCTTTATATATCATACATTGTACACCTCTTGTGGTACATTTAAATTCTTTTTTACACTAATTACAGTTTTTTTCATGATTAATATTCTGACAGTCGTTTAGGCTTGCTGTACCTTATAAAAAATTATAAACTTTGAGTGTCTTATCAGCTGGTAAGCTTGTCATTTATATGTAATGGTTGTTGTCATGTAAGAAAGCCATAAAACACAATTTTATGACTCGCTTATGACAAAAAGGGTAAAGACAGTTTAGAGCGATATTTAGACTTAGCATGGAGGGCTCTAGCATATGACTTGGTGGTGATCTTGAGCGGTGGTCACGTCTGTTTTTCTTTTCTGTGCCCT